AAAACAGAAACTCTCCAAACAGTTTCTATGAAGCCCATATTTCTCTAATACCAAAAGGAAACAAAGACACCACAAGAAAAGAAAACTACAGGCCGATATCCCTGATGAACACAGATGCAAAGATCCTCAACAAAATACTAGCAAATAGAATTCAACAACTCATCAAAAAATATCATATGCCATGATTAAGGGGGATTCATCCTGGCAATGCAAGAATGGTTTAATACTCGGAAATCAATCAACATAATCTATCATATCAACAAAAGAAAAGATAAAAACCATATGATCATATCAATAGATGCAGATAAAGCATGTGACAAGATCTAGCACTCATTTATGATGAAAACCCTCGCCAAAATGGGTATAGAGGAGACTTTCCTCAATAAAGTTAAAGCCATCTACCACAAGCCTACAGCAAGCATTATCCTCAATGGGGAAAAACTGAGAGCCTTTCCGCTAAGATCAGGGACGAGACAAGGATGCCCACTCTCTCCACTGCTGTTCAATATAGTACTGGAAGTACTTGCAATAGCGATCAGGCAAGAAAAAGATATTAAGGGCATTCAGGTAGGAAAGGAAGAAATCAAGCTCTCAGTATTCACAGATGATATGATACTATACTTAGAGAACGCTAAAACCTCTACCAAGAAACTCCTAGAAACAAAAGACTTGTATAGTAAAGTCGCAGCCTATAAAATCAATACCCAAAAGTCCATGGCTTTCCTATATGCAAATAGTGAAAGAGAGAAGAAAGTGACATGGAAAAAAACAATCCCATTCACAATTGTGCCCCAGAAAATCAAGTACCTAGAAATTAGCTTAACTTCAGATAGAGAAGGGAGCACCAAATAAAGGGTGTTGGGAGGATCCTCCCAGGATGAGAGAAGCATGCTGAAAGTCGACTATAGACCAAACATGATTGCCACTCAATGCCTCTTTTGCAAACCACAACACCCAAAAGGAGACAGAGAACAGAGGGGAATGCCGTGCCACAGAGGCAGGGTGGAATGGGCGAGTGGGGGGTGGGAGGGATACTGGGATCCGTGGTGGTGGGAAATGGGCACTGTTGGAGGGATGGGTATTTGATCATTGTATAATTGAAATCCAAGCACAAAATTTGTAAGTCTACAACTTACCTCATGGTGTCTCACTAATAAAAAATTTAAAAAAACATTTTTAACCCCCACCTCCCCCCAAAAAAAGAAATTAGCTTAACTAAGGAAGTAAAGGATATGCACAAAGAAAAGTATCAAACGCTACTTCAGGAAATAAATGAGGACACAGAAAATGGAAAGATATTCCCTGTTTATAGTTCGGGAGAATTTACATTGTCAAAATGGCAATACTTCCCAAAGCATTGTACAAATTCAATGCTATCCCTATATGGACATCCATGACATTCTTCAAAGAAATAGAGCAAACACTCCTGAAATTCATACGGAACAACAACCCACCACGAAAAGCTAAAGCAATTCATGGGAAAAAGAAAATGGGAAGAATCAACCTCCCTAACTTCAAACTCTACTACAAAGCAGTAATAATTAAAACAGCATGGTACTGGAACAAAGGCAGAGATGCGGACCAATGGAATAGGGTTGAATATACTGACATCGCCCCCCAAACATATAATCATCTAATCTTTGATAAGGGATAAAGAAATGTGATGTCGAGCAAGGAAAGCCTCTTTAACAAATTGTGCTGGCAAAACTGAACAGCTACATGCAAAAAACTGGGCTCAGATCTCTGCCTAACACCATGAACAAAAGTAAGATCAAAATGGATTAAAGACCTCAACATCAGACCGGAATCCATAAGGTACATTGAAGACAAAGTTGGCAAAACCCTCCATGACATTGAAGCTAATGGTATCTTCAAACATGTCATGCCACTGGCCAAGCAAGTGAAAACAGAGATAGACAAATGGGACTATCTTAAACTAAGAAGCTTCTGCACCTTAAAAGAAACAGTGACCAAAATACAAATACAGTCTACAGAATGGGAAAGGATATTTGCCCAATACACATCCGACAAGGGTTTGATATCAAGGATATACAAAGCACTGGTTGAACTCCACAAGAAGAAAACATCCAACCCCATCAAAAAATGGGGCAACGAAATGAACAGAAACTTTCTCAAGGAAGAAATCTGAATGGCTAAAAGGCACATGAGAAAATGCTCTACATCATTAATCATCAGGGAGATACAGATCAACACAACAATGAGATATCATTGCACACCACAGAGACTGGCACACATCCAAACGAACAGAAGCAACCATTGTTGGCATTGGTGTGGTCAGAAAGGGACCCTCCTTTATCGCTGGTGGGAATGCTGAATGGGTCAGCTGTTTTGGAAACAGGAGGGACGATTCTCAAAAAATTAGAAATTGAGCTCCCATTTGACCCAGCAATACCACTCCTGGGAATATATCCCAGAGAGGCAAAAAAGTATAGTCGAAGTGACATCTGCACTTGTTTGTTCATTGCAGCACTCTTTACAATAGCCAGAATCTGGAAAAAACCTGAGTGCCCGAGAACAGATGACTGGTTAAAGAAACTTTGGTACATCTACACAATGGAGTACTATGTAGCTGTTAGAAAAGGTGAAGTCATGAAATTTACATACAAGTGGTACTACATGGAAAGCATCATGCCAAGCGAAATAAGTCAGAAAGAGAGGGACAGACGTAGAAAGATTGCATTCATCTGGGGAAAATAAAGTAATAAAATAGGAAACTAACACCCAAGAATAGCCAAGATGAGTACCAGAAATTTTGCTCCATGACCTGGAAGCCAGCCACACATTCTAGGGGAAAAGGGAGCTCAGATAGAGAAGGGAGCACCAAATAAAGGGTGTTGGGAGAATCCTCCCAGGATGGGAGAAGCATGCTGAAAGTAGACTATAGACCAAACATGATTGCCACCCATTACCTCTTTTGCAAAACCCAATAGGAGAAAGAGAACAAAAGAGAATACCCTGCCACAGAGGCAGGGTGGGATGAGGCATATGGGGGGTAGGAGGGACACTAGGATCAGTGGTGGTGGAGAATGGGCACTGGTGGAGGGATGGGTACTTGGTCATTGTATAACTGAAACCCAAGCACAAAAATTTGTAAGTCTACAACTGTACTTCATGGTGTTTCACTAATAAAAATTTTAAAAAAATAAGCTTGTGGTAATTTTTTACAGCAGAAATATAGGGAACAGTATAGGTTTTGTTTCTTTACAAAGTAGTTTATTTATTGTCACTGCTTAATGTCCTGGGTATGGATAACAGAGATGAAAATAGTACCCTTGATGTAATACCAAGGTGACAAGTCGGTTATGACTATATCCAAGCTGTCAGGAGTTAAACTCTTCTGGATACGAGTTTGCATTAGTGTCTGCAAGGGAAATGGAAAATACTTTAGGTGAACAATGTGTGGATGAAGTTTGAGGTCTCTGTTATAAAGAAAAAAGCTGCTAGTCACAGTTGTGCATTTTTTATAGTGCATCTGAGATTCAAAGGATTGTGTAATTCCACACTGTATCGCATGGCCTTAGACAACTATCTGGACCTCAATAGTTCTTTCTTTGAAAAAATTCTTGGTATACAGCCTAGTCAATTTAAATCTTAGATTATATATGTATGTATATATCGCTGTCACTGTCCTCCCATTGTTCATAGATTTACTCGAGCAGGCCCATTAACGTCTCCATTTTGAGACTTGTTGTTACTGTGTTTGGCATATTGAATACGTCACGGGTAGCTTGCCAGGCTTTGCACGCGGGTGAGATACTCCTGGTAGCTTGCCGGGCTCTCTGAGAGGGGCGGAGGAATCGAACACGGCTCAGCCTGGCTGGCTGCGTGCAAGCCAAATATACATATACATGTATATGTATATATATGTATATATGTATGTAGACATACATATATAATCAAGATTTAAATTGACTAGGTATACAGTCTAGTCAATTTAAATATAAGATTATATATGTATATAAATATACTCAGATACACACATTTACATTTTTACTAGAAATAAAATGATTTAATAATGTACTTTTTGTTAACATACTTATAAGGAAACTGCACTGCAGCACTATCCTCCCGTTACTCATCGCATCGATTTGCTCCAGCAGGCATCAACAACGTCTCCATTGTGAGACTTGTTGTTACTGTTTGCGTTTTAATGTTTTTGGCATATTGAATACGCTTCAGGCAGCTTGCCAGGCTCTGCAGTGTGGATGGGATACTCTCGGTAGCTTGCAGGGTTCTCCGACAGGGATGGAAGAATCAAACCCAGGTTGGCCATGTGCAAGGCAAACACCATACCCACTGTGCTATCGCTCCAGCATATGTAAAATATACAAATTTTTAAAAAAGACTTAGTTTTGCAAGAAATCTGCTTTTCTCTTTCTTGGTGTTTGCATGTTTGAGGGCAGAAAACTCAGTGGTGCTCAAGGCTTACCCCTGCCCGGCTATGTGATGCTGGGGACCAAATCTCAGTTGGCTCCACTCAAGGCAAGTGTCCTACCTTCTGTGCTATTTCCTTTAGGTCAAAACTGCATATCTGACTGTCAGAAGTCAAGGAGATCATTTTCCAAGAATTTAAGGCAAGGTTCGAAAGGTAATATATCGATGGTTCGAAAAGCATCCATGGAATATTTATATAAAATTTATAAGGAAAGCTCAAGTCATTTAATAAGATGTGTTTGACATTAATAAATGCTTTCAAGGTCTGCTCGAATCCTCTGCCACTGAGTTTACTCAATCTTTCTGTCTCATGTTCTTTCATTCTCCCTCCTTCTTGCCTTCTTCCACCTTTCCTCTCCTCCTCCATTTCCTCTCCACATCCCATTGTCTTTCTCTTTCCATGTGTCTCTTTCTCTCCTCAGTCTTCATAAGTCAAAGTGCCCACTGTTTCCTCTCCAAAGCCCAATCGGTGATATTTTGACAGCTTGCATCAGTTAAGGGCATGGAATAGTAAGAAGAATGAGGACAAGAGGTGAGTTATACTGTTTCACTTTTTCATTCTTTTTTAAAACTTTTATTATTAGCTTTTATTACACAAGTAATACATATTTATTGTAGAAAAATTAGAAAACACAGAAAAGCAAAAGGAAAAAATAATCACCCATAATCCCACTACCCATAGATAACTACTATTAACATTTTAGTGTATGTCCTTCTAGTGCTGTTATGCATATATATATATATATATACATAGGTATATTTATATATAATTTTCTGTTTTTACAAATATTGTCTCATACTATACATATGGTTTAATAATGCTTTTTCATTTAATATATATTGTGAATGTTGTTATTTATTCCCTGAAAAAAATATATAGGTACTACATGCTCATTGTGGAAAAACAGAAAATTATAGTTATGTAAAAAAAAATTATAATTGTTCCAAATCTCACCTCCAGTGTTAGATACTGTTAACATTTTGGCAAATATCCTTTCATATTCTTTAATGCACACATGTATATGCATATTTTTGAAATAGGATCTTGCTTTAGATATTCTTCTATAACTCCCTTCTTATGTAACAATATAACTTGATTTTTCAGTAAATATACATATCTTTCAAAAATACACATATTCTTAATTGGTGTGCAATATTCCATTGAAGAAGTATATCACATTTAATCAATCCTATAATTCAGACTTTACACTTTTCTACTACTCCAAATAATGCAACTACAAACATCTTTCTTAATATTTTTTGAATAATGAATAAGTGCATCTAAGCTCATTTTATTTTTGAACTTTTAAGGGAGAATTTTTCTAAAGTGAGGTTATTTAGCATGCATGAAAATATATTGTCAAATTATTTTCCAGAAATCAAACCAATTTATATTATTGATTCTATAAGAGAAAATTTATTCTGTATTATCACACATATAAACTTAAAATTTAAAGAAAATTTTGTTTATATGATTTATCTGTTGAATATGAAAAATGAGTATAATAATTTTAATTTTTGATTACTAATACACTCAATATTTCCATATTTTTGTAGTAAATTATACCAACTTATGGTGCATTGTCAGTGTGTGCCCTTGGCTCAATTTTCTACTGGAAAGTTTGATTCTTTTTAAGTCATAAGATTTCATTTATTCATGCACTTTTTATTCATTTAAATCAATAAATATATTTTCAGTATCTGCTTTATGTCTAGCATTCTGCTAGGTGTTGGGGTTACACTGTTGTTACCTTGTTGAACTTTCAGCTTAGTGGGGAAAACAGACAATTAAAAGGCAATCATGAAAATAGTACAATAGGAAGGTGAAAAAACAAATTGGGAAAAACATGGCTGGGAAGGAGATTACAGATCATGGAAGACTACCAAGGGTAGTGAAGTCTACGCTCCTGATATTAGAGCTCTAGACTTTTTGTTGCATATATTTCAAATTTTGTTCTCTTTGACTTGTCTTTTTTTACTATAAAGAAGCATTGCATTTATAGTTGGTCAAGTATGTATTTTCCTTGTGGTTTCTTCCTTTGGTGTTTTATCCACACAAAAAAATTTATATCTTCACTGTTCCTAGAACTTATTTTAATGAGAGTTACTGGTTTGACATTTCCCCAACAAACTGACGAAACAGTCATGGAATATATCTTAATAATTCAATCTTTTGTTACAGATTTGAAATGTTTTTTTCTAATGTTCTCAATTATTCTATGTTTTTTAGTTTATTTATTATGTATATGTATATTTAGTTCTGATTTATGCTGGCTCTTCTCCATCTACTTAATTATCTGAAAGTTGAACATTTTGCATTTTGTAATGATCTAGAACACACAGAAAGCACAGATGTTACTTAGGTATGGCACATGGGATGGGAAGTCTGGTATATATTATCCTAACTCTTTTAACTTTGAGATCTTAAGAATCTGAAAATTCACATAGGGCCACTATTAATCTCTGCTGTCTAAAATTAATGAAACTTTTTTTACATTGTTGATTTTCTCCTGACATTCTAAGGGTCAACTTTCAGTAGGTGGCAGTATTGTCAAATAATGAGTGAAAATACAGGGGCAGCTAGGAAAAAACATAATTTGCAAGGAATTTAGAATTTTCCGAAGAGCTTTAACTTGTTAGAAAGTATCAGGATTGTTTCTTCCTTTTTGTATTTTTGAGGAATAACTCAACCAAAAGTTTCTTGAACATTGGTTCTTAAATGCATATAAAACTTTAGTGGACAGATTTTAAAAAATCTGATCTTAGCTTTCACAAACCTTACTCAAAATGAAAGTTTCAAATGTGATTGTGTGGGGTTCACGTGATCTATATTTTCCTTATAATTTTTTTCATATTTCCCACAAATAATATGTATTGCCTCTGTCATCTGAAAAAAAGAAAAACAATACTAGGATATTAAAAATATGGTGGTAAAAGGTGAGTGTGCACCAGAAAAGGTTTACACTATTTTCTGTTTCAGACAAATGATACATGCAACAAAACAGATTCAATATTCTCTTCCTATTCCTAGAGATCAGCTCAATATTACTGCTAATCTGAAATCGAATGACCAGCTGAGACAGTAGAACTCTATCTCATGAGTGACACCTGAGAAAGTCCTTTGGTGGGTCAGACGCATGGGGAAGTTAGCTCTGAAAGAGATGCATTTTGACCTTCCTAATGGGGGAGATGAGGTGATAAACTACCTTTATCAATTACAAGTCTGTTTCGGTTACCAAGACTTTGAGCACTATATTTCATTTTAGGACCTGCTAGTGAAAGAACATCTAAAAATCTTGGAGTGTGTCCATGGGAACTACAAAACCAATTAAAGCCTGGGAAACAGGCATGATGAAAAAAGTTAATGTGATTGAATATATTTGCTGTAGATATGGAAAGCTTAGCTCGGGAATTAGACAAATCCCCATCTCCATAATAGCTAACTACAACCCTCCCATACATGGAGGTGAGACCTGAATTTATTAACAGTCATCAGTTGTACGAAGGACAAGTGCACGGAAGGTAAGTGTTACTGTCATACTGAGACTAAGGCGAGAGTGAGCACAGATTAACCAAGCAGAAGTTATTTATGTCAGGCATTTGGAAGAACGTGCTAAACACCAAGGCTGGACTGAGCAGTTAACAACTTTGCATGGATTCATAGAAAATAGACTGAAGATCAGAGTTCAATATAATAGAAAGGTAAAAAATGGCAGATACAGGAGCTGAGAGCATGCTATATTGGGTTACTTCATAGTTTTGAAAATAATAGACCATAAGTGAATTAACTTTAAGGGAAGAAAAAATGAACCAAACTTCAGAGGATATAAAACTTCAGGTTTAAATAAGTTAAATCTGATTTCCAAAAGTTGGGATTTGAAGCTTAGGTCAATTTGGAGTGGTTACTTACTTTGCAAGGAAATATTTCCCCTTGGAATTTTAAAATAGTGTATTCCCATAACTTTTTTACAAGTATTTGATTTAGAATATTGCAATTTTTCTCATACAACTTTAAGGATATGTCTTTCTAAAGTCAGGTATATTCATTACCATGTATTAGTTACTAATTAATGGAACTCTGATACGGTCAATAACCAGCTAACATAATCTAAATACAGAACTGAATAGCCTTTTAAAATATCTTCTGAAATTTTTATTTTTTCACTTTTAATTTAAAGATCTAGAGAAATAAAAACAAAGACAGTTTCCAGCTATTTGAACTATATGAAATTGCCATTTTGTAAGTCAAAGCAGTCTATATCAGCACTTTCTATATAATACAACTAAAACATAATGTTTCAGGTTGTTCATCTGTACTTCTTTTTACCTTTACTAAAGCTAAGAGCTTGAATATATGTAATTTTTTAGTTAAAACATCAGTGAACATAGAAATGTCTGTGCGTGTAAGTGCTAAGAGAGTTTTGAGTTGGGATGAAAGATACCTCTTTACGAACCACTTATAGGCATCTACCTCATCCTTTGATGGAACTAGGCACTGGTGCCTCTTGCCTGACTTTAGAATTTTAGTTTCAGACTGGAAAATCAAGAAAGGAAGCGCAAAGACCCAATCTCTCAAACCTGTGGGAAATTCTGTCTGGGAAACAAGCCGAAGGAAGGAAAGGGGAGAAAAAACAAAATTTGTACCATGTTATAAGTTTAGTGGAGGAAGATCACAATAAAATTGTGAGCAGAAAAAACAAAGCACGCAGTTTCCTCCTTTCTAAATTATAGTATTGCTTAACGTGTCCTGCTTTCAAGTTTCTAAGCATAAGACAAGACACCAAGTACACATTGGAAAAGTCATATCTGCATAGTCATCTAAAATGAGACAAGCTTAGCTTAACTAAAAAGATTTTATTAACAATGTAAAATGTTAAATATTTTTACGATCTGAGCTAATTTTAGCATGCCCTATAAGATTTAACACTACGCTGATGTGCAGACATCATGCTTCAGATTTCAATTAGAACAAAATGTGATAATATTTAATTTTACAATTGAGGGTAATTGTCTATATTACTACACCATTTCCTAACTGGATTACTTCATTCTCCAAGAAGCTGAAAAGACACCATTGAATCAAGGGAGATTAGTTGCCCATATGCATTGTATGAAGGCATTAGAATTATTGTGTATTTACAAAATTTGAATGATTTTCATAGATGGTGTTTTTGTTGCATTATGAATTAAAATATTTTTATATTGAAGCTCTTAGATTCAGACAGAATGGAAGACTAAACATAAATGAATGCAGAGAAAGCAATAAATGTGTTCTATGTTTGATTATCACATTGTTTCTAGTGATATTGATAGATTGAATTTTTTAACAGTTTTAAATAGATTTCTATGTTTAAAGACTTCTTTTATGATGATCAATTGTTAACATAAGATCAGTGAGAGCCATAGATATATTACTATACATGAGATAAGTTTTTCTCTGTATAATGCATTTAAAAAACCTTTAAATAATTAAAAAATCATAATTCTTGCATCTGCCATTATATGGTTTGGAGCAGACATGCACAACGTCAGCTTTAAAAATCCTTTTAAAAACGGCCAGCTTTTCAAATCTTTTTTCTTCTTCTTGACAGCAGCTGCTTTCAAATGTAAAATCATTTATAATGGCAGGAGGAGGGAGAAAAAAGTAATAAGGAAGCATAGAAAACATAGTTAAAACCCAATAACTCTTATTCAGCTATCTGGTGGTCCTCGTGTTTGGCGATTTCTTCAGGTCTTCCCAATGGGGGTTCTCCAGGAAGAATCCCCTAGCTTGAGATGAGACAACACAGCCCAAAGAATCTTCTCTTCCGCCTTCTAACCAGGGGGTAGGGAGTTAGATTGAGAAGACTGCTGTCATCTGTGATGGGACAGAATGTACATATGAGGTGCTGACAAAATAATTTGCAAGTAATGAATTGACTTAAAAAAAGAACACCTTCTTTGTCTCGTTTCTTTTTCCTTTTGCGGTACAGAGATGGAACCCAAATTCTTATGCATGTAAGGCCTGCACTTGACCATTGAGCCTCAGGTTTCAAGGCTCATATTTTACCACTGAACTCCACCCCAGCCCCCAGCCCCCCACCATCTTTTTTTTTTTTTTTAGTTTTTTTGGATCACACCTGGCAATGCTTAGGGATCACACCTGAGTCTGCACTTAAGAATTACTCCTGGTAGTGCTCAGGGGGAACCATATGGGATGTAATCTGGGTTGGGCTCGTGCAAGGCATGTGCCTTGCTCGCTGTACTATCTCTTCAGTTCCAAGCCACCCACCACCATCTTTTTAAAAAATATTTATTTATTTTTATTGAATCACTGTGAGCTGCACAGTTACAAAGTTGTTCATGGTTGGGTTTCACTCATACAATGTTCCAACACCTGTCCCTCCACCAGTGCACATTTCCCACCACCAATTCCCCCAGTTTCCCTCCTGCCACCCCCCTCCCCACCAAGCTTGCCTACATGGCAGGCACTTTTCTCCTTTTTTCTCTCTCTTTCTCTCTCTTTCTTCCTCCCTCTTTCTTTCTTTCTTTCTTTCTTTCTTTCTTTCTTTCTTTCTTTCTTTCTTTCTTTCTTTCTCTCTTTCTCTCTCTTTCTTTCCTTCTCTCTTTATCTCTTTCTCTCTTTCCCCTCCCTCACTTCCTCCCTCCTTACTTCCCTCCCTCCCTCCTTTCTTTCTTTCTTTCTTTCTTTCTTTCTTTCTTTCTTTCTTTCTCTCTTTCCCCTCCCTTCCTCCCTCCTTCCTTCCCTCCCTCCCTCCCTCTCCCTTCCTTCCTTCCTTCCTTCCTTCCTTCCTTCCTTCCTTCCTTCCTTCCTTTTCTCTTTCTTTCTTTCTTTCTTTCTTTCTCTCTCTCTCTCTCTCTCTCTCTCTCTCTCTCTCTCTCTCCTTTTGAGCATTGTGGTTTGCAACACAGGTACTGAGAAGTTATCATGTTTGTTCCTTCACCTACTTTCAGCACACAGTTCTTTTTTTTTTCCTTTATTTTATTTTATTTTTTTTTAAGTTGTAGATTTACAATTTTTGTGCTTTGGTTTCAATTATACAATGATCAGATACCCATCCCTCCACCAGTGCCCATTTTCCACCACCATGGATAATATCCCCCCCACCCCCATCCCCCCATCTCCCCTGCCTCTGTGGCAGGGCAATCCCCTGTGTTCTCTCTCTCCTTTTGGGTGTTGTGGTCTGCAAAAGAGGCATTGAGTGGCAAACATGTTCAGTCCATAGTCTACTTTCGACATGCATCTCCCCTCCTGGGAGGATCCTCCAAACATCCTTTATTTGGTGCTCCCTTCTCTATCTGAGCTGCCCTTTCCTCTAGGATACCCGGCTGGCCTCTAAGTTATGGAGTAATCCTCCTGGCAGCACACAGTTCTTACCCAGAATGATCATTTCCAACTGTCATTGTCATAGTGGTCCCTTCTCTATCCCAACTGCCTTCTCCCCTAGCATTTGAGGTAGGTTTCCAACCACCCACCAACTTTTGAATTAATGTTCTTAATCAGTGTACTTTTAACATTTTGCTGCTGACAACTTCTTGGTTTGTTATTTAGCTTGGGGACACACACAGAAGAGGGTCATTCCTGGCAGATGTTTGGTGGTTTCACTCCCGGCTGGTGTTTGGTGGTGTCACACTCTCAGCCACGCACAGAGAACCAATCAGGGTCAGAGATCAAATCTACCAAACATGTACCCCGGCCCATTGAACTACCTCCTTAGTTTTATGGTGCGTGTGTGTGTTGCCATGGATCGAACACAGTTCTTATGCATGCAAAGCCTGCACTTGCCCATTGGGCCATATCCACTGCTCTCCTGAGCCCTGGTGGATGTTTACCAACATCTGTGACTTGGCTCACTAAATGCTATGTGAACTCCCCACCAGCTGTGACAATAAAAAAAAAGGTTCTCAGATACAGTTAACTGCTCCCTGGAGACCTGCTCTTCAAAGCCTGTGTTCTCCCCTGAACATGTATCTTGCTTGCTTGTCGCTATGTCTCTGCTTGCTTTTTCACCTTTGGAGAAGCCCATGTTCTCATATTTCCTCTCTTTCTCTTTTCTCACATCTTTCTAAATAAAATTTCATTCAACAAAAAGAAAAAAACAGTGCTTCCTGGAGGGAGGGGCATATAGCCTATAGTCGAGAACCATTGTTCAGAGCTAAGTTTAAACTACACTGAGGTTGAACAAAGTATAGTTTGTTAGCAAGAGCCCACACTTTAGGATAAAGCATACTTCTTTCCTAAAATTTTCTTTGTTATTTATTAGTTCTGTGACTTTGAACATGTAAATTAAGTGCTTGAAGCTTTAGTCTCACCTCTAAAAGAGAATTTTATTCTATTTCTCTTGAGAATTAAACACAACTTTTTGAGTAGCTATCCATTTATTCTGTTTATGAAGACAGAATTCACATCCATTTATTCTGCCTGTGAATGTGATGGGATGGATGTGAAGATATCCATTTATTCTGCCTGTGAAGGGAAGCACTCAGTAAATATTATTTATTTATATATTTATTTATTTGGGTGTTTTTAACCCTACCCAGTGTTTCTAAGGACTTATTACTGGCAGGGCTTGGGGGATCATAAGGGATATAGGCAATTGAACCTGGGTTGGCCATGTGTAAGGCATGCAAGCACCCTACTTGTTATGCTCTCCCCCTGGCCCCAATATTGATATTTTTTAACAGTTTCTCTCTATACAGAACCATCATTAAATCTTTCCTCCATTCACCTACTTCATGTCTCAGAAAGTTTCAATGTTGGGGCCAGAGCGACAGTACAGTGGGTAGCATGCTGGCCTTGCAAGTGGCCAACCCAGGTTTGATCCCCAGCATCTGAGCACCACCAGGAGTAATTCCTGAGTGTAGAGCCAGGAGTAACCCCTGAGCATTCCTGTGTTTGACCCAACAAGCCAAAAACAAAAAAGTTTCATTGTCCCTATTCAGTATTTCCCTAGAATTTTTTTTAGATTTTTATATACAAGGGCATTCACAGAGGAGATGGCCAGCCATTGAATCAATGTTTTGGGTTGAAATTTTATAATCATAGAGGAGGGAATTAAATGCATCAGTAAACCAATCTGGTTTTGTGAGAAAAGTTTTAAAGAAAGAGTTCAATCCAAAAGAGAAGGTAGGTGGACATCGCCTTCTGGGACAGAACAGACTCCTAGGACCACAAAGAAATAACCTGGAATAGGACTAGATAGATAATATAGGGGTTAAGACATATGCCTTGTATGTGTCCAACTCCAGTTTGATCCCTGACACCACATGGGTCCCTGGATATCCCTGGTGCCACCCTGGAGGTCCCTGTGTCCCCAAGGTTTGGGTTTGAGGAACACTATATCCTCAGGTCCTCACATTGACCTGCAAGCCTGCCAGAAACCACATATGGGGTCATAGGGACTCCTGAGCACTGCTTGGGAGCTTCCCCCATCCCAGTACATTTTTTTAAAGGTGGTGGTGAGAGGGAGCTGTGGGTCATTGGTGGAGGGATGCTGATACTGGTGATGGGTATGGCGTTAGAACATTGGATGATGGTGGTGGAAAATGGGCACTGGTGGAGGGATGGGTATCTGATCATTGTATAATTGAAACCAAAGCACAAAAATTGTAAATCTACAACTTTAAAAAAAATAAAATAAAATAAAGGGAAAAAAATATATAATTTATCCATGGTGGTGGAAAATGGGCACTGGTGGAGGGATGGGTATCTGATCATTGTATAATTGAAACCAAAGCACAAAAAATTGTAAATCTACAACTTTAAAAAAAAATAAAATAAAATAAAGGGAAATATATATATAAAAAAATAAATAAAAAAAAATAAAAAAAAAAGAACATTGGATGCCTAAAACTGTCTTCAACAGTTTTATAAATGACAACAGTAAATAAACATTAAAGCGATCTTTTTAAAAAATGAAAGAAAGAACTTGGAAACTGATAACTTGGATAGCACCAGGACACAGTCAGACTAGAGCCTGAGCCAGTCATGTGGCTGGTGCCTTTGACAGCTATTAGGCACCTAAGCTCTGCCAGGACTGGAAATATACCTCTCCTGGAGCAGAGCTAAGGGAGTCCCTCTTTGTTCTATCCTAATGTTAAGGAGATGGTGCTCAAGAATCTGGCCAGGAGTCTAGAAACATGAGTTAAATGCAGAAATGGGCAGTATAGTGAAGGAAGTGTCCCGCCTCAATAAAACTGATTTCTCTGTAATCTGTAAGGAAGGCTGTTATTTCTTTAGCCTAGACCTCAGGAAATTGTCAGGAACATAAATGAGTCCTAGTTTTCTGGTCTTCTTACATAACTTGTGTTGTCCAAGTGCCTGGGTACTTCCACCCCTTCCCCAAAGGCTCACATGCGTCATACTTATTTGTAAATTAGCATCTCGCACCAAGTTGACAGTGTTCTTTGAAATGGTGCACTAAGTTATACATTTAGATGGAACTGGAGCAGCAAGGCAGAGCCAAGAAAGAAAGCAGGCGCCCAGCTGAGCATATCAAATTAATCAACCACAGTCCACTCCAGTCTCCACAGACATCCTCTTAAACCTCATTCTGCAAACATGGAGAAAAACAGAACTATTTCTGTCCTTTTCATAATGAAAAATTTACTACAATTTTTGAATGTCTGTATTTTAAAGGTAAAAATAGGACAATTCTCTTTTATACTTTAACTTGCCCCAAATAGTTAAGACACTGAGAGCAGTAAGAGACACTTTATATGAGCCTGACTTTCAGGAGAAACTCTGAGATGAATCATGATCTATTTTTAACATAAAATAAAAGATAACTCATTTATGCAACATTTTTCGAACTGTTAGCTCTTTAACTACCAGCTAATCAATAAATTCAAGCTAAG